GCAGCAGCGGCGAAGAACTCAGGGCAAGGAGGCGGCGGCGGCGCGCGGGCCTGAGACGGAGCGCGCGCGGAGGGGGGGGGAAGGAAGGTTTCGCTTCGGTGAGGAGGAGGAGGAGGAGGAGGCGGCGCCGGTCCTGCTCCTTGAGGTACATCCCGGACCGGGAGGGGGGGCTTCTCCCGCCGCCACCTTGGCGCGCACGGGAGGAGTTGCTTTTCTGCTCCCGCGGGCAGAGAGGGTCGCTTGCCCGGCCTCGCCGGGGGCCGGACGGCCTTTGCGCCCGGCGCGCTTTCGCCTCGCCTCTTTTCCCGTTGCAGGTGGCGCCATCCCTGGAGGCGCCTTTTAATCCGGTTTGCAGGAAGGATGGCGAGGAGCCGCTCGCCTTCGCCCCGCTCCGGTCGGGCTACGCAGAAGCACGCTGGCCTCTTGTGGCTCTTCCGTGCCTTCTGGCTGCGCTGACCTCTTAGAAGTCAAGCGCGTCCCATTCAGCGGCACTCCGCTTCCCTCAGCGCCCATACTTTGGCATCCCAACTTTCTCAGCCGCCTGAAGAGCACGTTCCTTCAGAGGTTGCTCTCCATTCGCCTTCTTGTTTAGACCTGCCTCTCCGAACATGCCCGTTTCCTCTTCCTTCAGACTTCCAAATGCACGCTTCTGTTAAATGTTTGATATACTTTTTTTTGCTGTAGAGGAGACCTCGACAAAGTGTGCCCCTTAGATCACCTGTGCCTTTCCGTGCTGTTTTCGCAACCCCCGGCCCTCTCCTCGTAGACTCTGCCTTTTACCAGGGAAGAGAAGCCGAAGGGCTGCTGCTTCTCGGAATGATGATTCACCTTCTAATTTCGTTGTACCTTCGCCTGCCCAGTTGAACGCAAATAATACTATTAATTATGTGCGGATCATTCAGTTCTGACTTATGGTGACTCTTTTCAGGGTTCTCCAGGTGGATGATACTCAGAAGTGGGTTCTGTGCAGCTTGGCAAAGGCGTCCCAGGCTGGCTCTACTTCGCAGGAGGCCCAGTGGGGGACTCGAACTCCCAGCCTCTTCTGGCTCTGCCGCCAGGGTATCTAAACCACTGAGTAGATGCAGACTTCCAGCCAACTTCTTCTGTAAGTTTTGGCGTTTGGTGTATATGTGGTCTGTGGGGTGCAAAAATGCCCCATCCCCTTCAAACCATTAAAGTTCCCCTTCTCTGCTTTAGAGTCTTTGCCAGCCTCTGCTTCTAGATTATTAACTTCCATGAACTCCCACCATTAACTATACTGACTGATGGGAGGGTGCCAAGTTGATGAAACTTTGAATCTATATTCTGTTTATCTTTGCTTTCATTTGTCTTGCTTTGCTCTGCCTTCTGTGGACAGCTGTCATGCTTTGTCAATCTATGGGCCCACCAGTCTTTGCCTCTATTTCTCTGGCATTTCTATTTGGTTGTACAGTATCATCAATGTGACCACAGTATTGGCACAATCAGCGTACAGGGTACAAGTAGATCCCTGCTCAAAAGAATTTGCAGCTTGAAGTTTGACATTTCATCTTGCTCATGCTGCAAGCTTTTTAAAGGGGACTCAGGTAAGCTATGTTATCTTGCTGTTTGTCCCTTTTCTGCAATACAGTGGACCCTCTACTTACAGAATTAATCCGTATTGGAATGATGGCTGCAGGTTGAAAAGTCTGTAGGTCGAGTCTCCATTGACCTACAATGCATTGAAAACCAATTAATCCTGTAACCGGCCGTTTTTGTTGCATTTTGGGTTTTTTCTGGTCTGTAGGCCAATTCTCCGGCTGCAAGTCAAACCTAAATTTTGCAGCCAGAGAAGTCTGTAACTCGAAAAGTCCCTAAGTCGAGCCATCTGTAAGTCGAGGGTCCACTGTATAGGAATAGACATACTTACAACAAGGATTTCTAGGAAGGTATGTGTAGATTGGAAAAAAAAATTGGCCAGAATCCTATTGTAGATTCTGCAGACATAAGTGTAATGGCATAAAGTGTAATGGTGTAACTGGATAGCTTAGTGAGTGAGGTGTTTGGCTGTGGACCCGGAGTTGGGTGTTTGATTCCCCATTGTGCCTCCCAGGAGAAGGATCAGCAACACAAAGTTACACTTATGCCAATGTAAATAAGCATTAGGATCCTTGCTATTCAGTATTATAAGTATTATCTGACAAAGAGGGAGGGAAAACTATACCAATTGCTTTCTTAGTAATGTAGTGGTGCATTGTTATTCATGTCAAGCAAATTGGAGGTTTAAAATATCCCTATGTACAAATGCTTTGATATGCTTCAAATTTCAAATGAAAGTATGTGAAGGCATGACATATTTGTTCATCAAAAGAGGGCATGAGTTAGTAAAAGATTAAAAGACTTTGCCTTATAGAGATGTAAATGTTACAGTATAAGTCTTGCAGAATGCACTCAAAGCACCTTGAATGCTCAAGTACACTATATGAATGTATACCTTTCACTTGCCTATCTGGCTATGCTTCCAGAGTTATTTGAAGACAACAGGAAGCCAGGAGGAAAAAGAAGGCAGAGTTCTGAGTTCTGAAAACCAATTGGAAAGAAACCTCCAAATTTCTCTTCATATAGGAACAGAAAAGATAAAATAGAATTATTTTTTTTAAAAAAGAGAAATTTTAATGCCCCTGATATCAGCAATCATTTGCTTATTCTCTAATGTTACCTGTGATCTGTTTGCATAACTAGCAACAAGTCAGGAAAGAACGGGCTGTTTCACAAGCCTAGAATCGGAGAAGTTAAGATAAGTGCAGTGAGACATGTAAAGAATGCCCATCCATTTTGCTGTAGGATATCTTTCTAGCAACATTTGTGTATGCGCTTCCATCACTTGGTGCAGTGTTCCTGGAGTCCTGATATATTTTTTTCCCATGAAAATCATTTCAATAGCTGTCCTGTGCTGTGAAGGTTTGCGTCTGAAGTGGCTTCTGAGTTGACCAGGACAGTGACAGACATTGTTGAAGAAGCCACTCTAATAGAATTCACATGTAGCACACATGAGGCAGTATAGCAGCCAGATCAGAGGCTTCTGCTCTTGTGTTTGGTTCCCATTCCTTTTTTGTGGCTGGAAAGGAGACAAAGCCCTTGGGAGGCCAGCATAGTTTCCTAAGCTTGAGTTCCCAGGCCTCTCATGGGAACAGAAAGTTTTCCTTTACCCGTTGTCTTAGTTTAGCTCTTAATAGTAATAGCATGTTTGCTGCAAGAGGAAGGCCTGTTTTGGCTGGGAAAGCTGTTTTTCCAGGCATTCAAAAATGAAATTTATAACGTTAATAGAGTCTGGTGGGTTGCAAGCATGCCTTTCTTGAATATTTTTAATCTTTGCTTTAGGTTTTCCTGACTGCCATGTTAATGCTGCTTGCGCTTGGAGTGCTACTGGTAGAAAACCTGGCCAAGGTTCAGAATGGAAATTTTAGTGATGGCAGCCGTAGTCCACAAGTGCCTCTGTATCGCTATGAAACCATTAATCTGCCAGAAGAGCATATCCCCTACTTTTTGCATAATAACCCGCACATTGTCATAGCCTGCAAGCAAGATCCGCATTGCCCATATAAAGTGAGTGCACCTTTTTCTATTGAAACAAAATGCAGATTTATTTTATTCTTAGAATGGTAGAGGTTAACTATGGTAGTAACTTGCTTTTGATTCCCCCACCCCACCACTACCTTCCACAACCATTGGTTGACTTCTGTAGTTGGAACCATCGCTGTCTCTCTCCCAGGGAAAGGGGCCTTTCCCTTCCAGCTAGGTTTGCAAGAACTCAAAAATTGTTTCATTTTTGATTTTATGAGGTCCTTGTAATTATTTCAAACTCGTGATCAAAATTCAGTGAGGGTGCAAAGCAAAGCAAAGCAAAGCGTGCTGCTTATATACTGCCCCATAGTGCTTCAAGCACTCTCTGGGCGGTTTACAAGTTAATTATGCAGGCTACACATTGCCCCCCCAGAGAGCTGGGTACTCATTTTACCGACCTCGGAAGGATAGAAGGCTGAGTCAACCTTGAGCCGGCTACCTGGGATTGAACCCCAGGTCGTGAGCACAGTTTTGGCTGCAGGACAGCAGTTTAACCACTGCGCCACGAGGCTCCTACAGGTATAGGTTGGATTGCAAAAAGCTGGCTTGTAGGGCTTGGGGGCTGAATTTGCACTAACTCAAAGGCTGTTTTGGGATAAATTGCTTGTGATACAGTTGTTTGGGCATATCAAACAATAAAGTATTGGTTCAATCTGTGATACTGGATAACTGATATATTTTATCTAAAATGGTAAGTGGCTGGATAGCTCAGTAGTTTAGGTACTGTATCTGGCTGTGGGGCCCTAGGTTGGGAGTTCAATTCTCCACTGTAGAACCAATCTGTGTGGCCTTGGGCAGGTTGCACAGTCCCAGGGAGCCCCCAGAAGAAAGGAGTGGCAGACCACTTCTGAGTATTCTCAACCTGGAAAATCCTGAAAAGGGTTGCCATAATCAGAGTGGAGAAAAAAATCAATGATTTTTAAAAATCAAATTAATTTAAACCATAATTTAAATTTAAAATAATCATTTTTTAATTTAAATTGTCCATGTCTCATGAATTATTATTGTCTAAACTTTACTTGCAAAGAGTAACATTCTAGTGCCCTTAATTGACAAATTCCTTTGCTAAGGTTTAATTTTATGTAGCTTTATGCCTTTATAGAAAGGAATATGCATGTCCATTTGTAGGTATGGAAATGTGTATAAATCTTTGCAATTTAAAAATAACTACAGTAGTAAAGATTTTTTTAAAAAATTCTGTGCATTTCTACAGTATTTTTAAAAGCAAAATGGGCAGTTTGTCAGTAAGGTTAACATTCTCTTGAAAGAGGGATTCTCAGTTTAATAAACCCAGTCTGTAGTGTCCAGCTCAAAAGATGAAGAAGAAGAATATGAAGAAGACAAGACCTTCACTTTGAAAGACATGTTAAAGGCAGGACCTTTGGAGATCATTAAACCATAGAGTCACCAGAAACCAGAAGCAGATTGGCAACATGTAACAACTATTGCTTTTTTAATGCAGACTTTGTGTTAACAGAAATACTTGAAGAACTTAAAGGCCTGTTGGGGTTATGAGAAATCATGCAAGCCAGAAAACAGGTTTGGATATCCAGTATGTGATTATGCTGAGGTAGGGTGGTAAGTATATACAAAGAATGTGTAGAGCTTAAATGGGTATAAACTATTCTCCTTCCTTCCTTCCTTCCTTCCTTCCTTCCTTCCTTCCTTCCTTCCTTCCTTCCCAACCCTTTGTATTAATTGTATGTAGCAAGGATTGGTGCCTTGATATAATTCTAGTGTTTGCATATTTATCAGAAGTTAAGTGTATATTATATGAACTTGTATATGGTAGAGTAGGACCACCTTATCTGTGAGATCAGTATCCACTGATTCACTTTTCCATGGCCTGAAAATACTAAAATTATTAAAAGAAAAATAGCAATACATGCATGCATGCATATGTGTGTGTGTGTGTGTGCGTATGTGTGTTTACATGCATGCATGCATATGTGTGTGTGTGCGTGCGTATGTGTGTTTATATATATATATAGCAATGAAATTACCAGAATTGGCCACTACATGGAACGAGAAACCATGCTATTTACAGCATAAAATAACATTCTGTTTTTTCCAGCTTCTGCAGTGGCCTTGGAACCAATCCTCCACAGATATGGGGGTCCTGCTGTATAGCAGACTAAGTCTGGGGGCAACCAAGTTCAGATTGGCACTCAGGCATGAGGCCAATCACTCGTCTTAAGAATCACTCGTCTTGGCCTAACATCTCTTTCATACACAGGGTAACTGTGAAAAGTAAAATGGTGTGAATGTAAGACACACAGTCATATCCATTCCAGGGAGCTTGGGTAGGATGAAAATTGAATCAGTTGTTGCCAGACTGAAGTCCCTGCCTGGCAGATTACTGCCCAGATAAATCAACAACGTAGTTTATGTTCTAATATAACTGCAGTTGGGCACCAGTGTATCCACCATTCTTCCCCACTCTTTCAAACACAGTTCTTGTTAGATGTGAAACATTTATAACAGCCTTGTTAATACTTTTCCCAAACAGAGGTAGTTCATTGTCTCCAGACTGTAATTTGGAAGAGGCTTTGGCTGGGATAGAGTGGCTTATACCACGTAGTTTAGTTTACATTAGGGACGTGGTGGCGCTGCAGGCTAAACCGCAGAAGCCTGTGCTGCAGGGTCAGAAGACCAAGCAGTCGTAAGATCAAATCCATGCGACGGAGTGAGCGCCCGTCGCTTGTCCCAGCTCCTGCCAACCTAGTGGTTCGAAAGCATGCAAATGCAAGTAGATAAATAGGGACCACCTCGGTGGGAAGGTAACAGCGTTCCGTGTCTAAGTCGCACTGGCCATGTGACCACGGAAGATTGTCTTCGGACAAAATGCTGGCTCTATGGCTTGGAAACGGGGCTGAGCGCCGCCCCCTAGAGTCAGACACGACTGGACAAAAATTGTCAAGGGGAACCTTTGCCTTTAGTTTACATTGAACACTGAAGGTTAGGTTCGGAGTAGTTTATAGGCACCATGCACATTGAGAGCAGGAATGAAGCTTAAAGCAATGGGAGCTGCCTATATACCACATTATATTGGATAAAGCTCTCTCTGGACGGTTTAAAATTGCATTATGCGGTCTACATTGCATACACACAGACTCCCCTCATGAGCTGTGTACTCAGTTTACTGACCTCAGAATGATGAAAGGTTGAGCCCCTTGGGATTGAACTCGGCTTATGAGCAGAGACTTGACTGCAGAACTGCAATTTAAACACTGCACCGCAAGGCTCCATAGAATTAAAATAATTACAACACACAGTGTTATATTCTATTATTTTTATTGTCATCTTGCCAGAATTTTGTTGGGGATTTATGGCAACATAAGTGTAATTGTGTAAATCAGAGGCAATTACTGCTAATTAATGACTTGCGTGCCAGTTGTGTGACTTGGCATGCAGCTAGGAGTGTTAGTGGCAACATTAATTAACAGCTTTTTGTCATCAAAATTTTTGCAGTAATATGCCCATATAAGTTTGCAGTGTGAGAGCCAGTGCGGATAAAGTGATGGTCTGGAACTCCCAAGACCCGAGTTCAAATCTTCACTTGGCCATGGAAACTCACTGGTAGATGGAGATGGTAAAACCACCCCTTAAATATCACATACTGTGAACCCCCTATTATGTTTGCTGTACATTCAATGCGATTTGATAGCACAAACAAACAAATCCTCTGGAGGATCACTGGCCACTGTACCCTGTTGCATATTGTGCAGATTGGAAGGCTGTCTACTGCAGCCATAAGCTGTCCTGCCAGGTGATACAAAAAATGTATTGTCTCCGGCGCATTTTTGGTATCACCTGGCAGGACAAAGTTCCAAATAAAGTCCTAGAACGAACTGGAATTTTTAGCATGTCTATATTACGGAAACAGCAATGTCTATGTTAGCTCTGGGATGTTGTGAGAATGGCTGACAGTTGGATTCCAAAAGATCGCTTGTATGGAGAATTAGTGCAGGGAAATCGCCCCAGAGGGAGACCACAGCTGCGATACAAGGATATCTGCAAGCGGGATCTGAAGGCCTTAGAAATGGACCTCAACACATGGGAAACCTTGACATCTGAGCATTCAGCCTGGAGGCCCAATGTGAAGAGACCCTTGTCCAGCAGGCCAAGGCAAAGAGGAAGTCCCAAAACCAGCAAAATCAGGGAGCTGGACAGGGGACAGATTGTATTCGTCTTCAGTGTAGAAGGGATTGTCACTCTCGAATTGGCCTCCTCGGCCACACTAGACGCTGTTCCAAGTCCTCCATTCTGAGCATGTTACCATAATCTCTTGAGACTGAAGGATACCTAAAAAGCTGTAGTCCACATTGATATTACAAATCAGTGGTAGGATTGAGGGTACTTTCAATTTCCAATGAACTATCCTCCATACTTTAATTGACCCCTCCCCACTAACTCTCATGCCAAATCCAGAACTCCGGCATACCAGAAACCTTGTCCTGGGTATACCCCTGTACATTTTAATAAATGTTTGTATGTATGAGAGAAAGAGAGAGGAAAGAAGAGTATGCATATTTCTATGTATAAACTGACATTACCCTTGAAGACCAACGTTAGAGTACAGTTTTCTACATCTCCTTTCCTAGTTTTGATTTTGCCACTCTCCTTGGCCACAGGCTTATTTAACACACATATGTCAGAGAACTGTGGAACATTTTGTTGCTGGACACTGCTTAGATAATAAAACAACACAGAAACATCTGCAGTGTTTAAGAAATCCTAACATTTCTCATTCTGCTCAGTTTGCATTCAGTACTTTGCTCTAGAAATAATTTAACTTACTAGTCTCTCTCTACATAGGCAGTTAAAATAATCCCTTTTTTATTGCATTTCCCGCATCACAGCAAAGATGTGCACTAGAATTTATCAACCCCTTGCCTCAGGGTCCGATATCTCCAAAGCTGGGTTTGTTTTTGGTTGTTTTTTTTTTCTCAGAAGGATGCTTTTACATTGTTTCTACTTGCCAGGGTATCTACCATAGAAGAGGCCCAGCGGGTGTTTTGGAAGCAATCCGACTTTGGTTACATTAAAGAGAGGATAAATGAAGTAAAGACTCACTGCAGACCTAAGGCAGTGGTGAGAATATTCATATATATTCAACTTGAGTTGTTTTCTGGCGCTGTCACCTGCCTTCCCCCACCTCCAGTTCTTTAAAAGTTTGTGGTTTTCATGCAGGGCGATTCTTCACTCCAGTGCTCTCGTTATCTTCAGTCCTGCAGAGCAACAAATCTGTACATTGATTTAAGGACGCCAAAGAGAAACCATGAGAGGTCTGTGCTTGACTTATGTTATACCCAGGCAAGGGAAGAAGCTGGGAGAGGGTATTCTCTTGTGTGGCTCCCAGATGTTATAATGATGTGAACAGTTTCCACTTTCACTGCTCTCAGGAACAGTTTGAAGACTCATCTCTCTATAGTATTTAATTAGTTGGGATGATTTTTATAGTTCATAGATTTTAATGGCTTTTATGGTCTTGTTTTGTTTTATTAAGGGACGTGGTGGCACTGCGTGTTAAACCGCAGAAGCCTCTGTGCTGCAAGGTCAGAAGACCAGCAGTCATAAGATCAAATCCGTGCGACGGAGTGAGCTCCCGTCGTTTGTCCCAGCTCCTGCCAAACTAGAAGTTTGAAAGCATGCAAAAATGCGTGTATATAAATAGGTACCACCTCGGTGGGAAGGTAACGGCGTTCCGTGTCTAGTCACGCTAGCCACGTGACCACAGAAACTGTCTTCGGACAAATGTTGGCTCTATGGCTTGGAAACGGGGATGAGCACCGTGCCCTAGAGTCAGACACAACTGGACTAAATGTCAAGGGGAACATTTACCTTTACCTTTGTCTCATTGGATTTTAATTGTCCTGTATTTGAATCTGTTTGTAGTGTTTTTAATTATGACTTACGATTGTAAGCTGTTTTGGGCACTCCTTCATCAGTGGGGTGTGTGTGTTTACAAATGTAATTAATTATAACAGTAATAATTATAACAAGCGAAGTACTAATGTAGTAAAACATATGCTTGCTTTGAGTTCACATTGTGTTAATAGTCTTTATTTCCTACTTTAGATTTAATGAAGACTTTTTTCAGAAGGGTCAGATTGGAGGCAGTTGCAATATGGACACTCAGGGTTTCCTTGCTGAAGGACAACGGAGGAGCCCTCTTCAGTCTTGGTAAGACTTATAGCCCAAACACTTTTCTCATTTTTCTATTGTGGACGTTTTGGGCAACACAGTTGAGCTTCGTCGACTGTATAGTGTTGAGTACTCCCCTTCTCTCCCACACTCAAGAAATCCCAATTAGTAGTTGTCTTTGTTTTGTTTAAAGAAGGAATATTCTATGAAGATCATACAGCTTAATTGAGATGACTGTTATATTATTATTCTGGAGCTCATTAAAAAATAGGGTAAAGGGACAGTGTTACAACCTGTGCTGAAAATGAGCGTTGATCAGGAACAGACCTAAGGATAGACATTTCCTTGAGCACATAGTTGAGGGTTAGTGGGATTTTGACCTTCCTAATATTTCAGATGATATTTCTCACTGACTGTTTCTATTAGCCCTTCTATGTGATGCTTTTCTAGAGGGCTGAAGATTTCCCATTTCCACCCTAGCCTTCATCTTAAAAAAGAAAAGAAAAAGAAATGTATTTCTTTTACAAAAGAAGGTTTTATTTCTTTAACAGGACTATGTGTGTGCCCTGGGGCAAACATCCAAATTGATTATACAGGCCAGTGTTCTACATGGAGTGGAACTGCAATCACATCAGGTCCCCTTCCCCTGACTTAACATGTAGGCAGTTATACGACCGATGTTGCAACCATGAGAGGCATGAAGGGGGGCTCACATTATTGCCGTTTTGCAACCAAATAGTTCAACAGAATACTGGCTACAATTTCAAAAGCATTTTGCAAAATGGCATGCAGTGGGGATGCCCTTCCAATATTAAAAACAAACACTGGATATTCCTTAAATTATTTTGGTTCATAAGCTGTGTATTTAAGTATGTATTCCATGGGAAACAGCACATGCAAATACACTCTTATATAATGATTTTTTAAAAAACTTTGAATAAAAAGCAAAGCTTATGATCTTGAAATCAATTTTTTTAAAATCATAATTTTAAAACAATTTTAAAAACATGTTTCTGAACCTATGACAGGCAAATTTGAAATATATCCCCACACCATATGAAATGTTACTCATCTTGTTCCCAAATTGTTTAGTTTAAGGCACCCAATCTAGTTACTTTCCCCTTTAAAACAATTAAAAGCCTTGCAGTGCTTCTGAAGGATATGTTCTTTATTGACTCTGCCCATGGTCATGCTTCATGGAGAATATGTGGTAAAGATAGCTTGTTAAATGGATCTTGCTAATTGGTTTCAGATTCTGCCTATCTTGTACCTCCAGTTGTGATTAATAACTCATATCTTTCCTGAAATGTCTTGAAAATCATGGTCAGCGTATTTGACATGAGCCTCGATGTATTCAAATTAACTGAATCTGGGAAACACGAAGGTTCTCTCCCTTGAAATTTCTCCAGCCCTTGATTTATACATCAAAGATTTTGCTTGCTCCTGAGATGAAAGGCAGAGTTTAACCTTTTGAAGCCTTACTGAAGAAGCTTCAGTTACAATTAAAAATAATTTTAATTGTCAAACTCTGTCAAACTTCACCTATCTTGGTAAGAGAAGTCTGTGTGGTGCCTTGCTTAAATGATCAACTATGGGAACCCTTCTTTTTTGCAGGCTGTGCTAAATAACTTTAATTACAGGTTTGCTGAGCTTCGAACATACACAGAACTGAACTCCAACCCTGTGGAAGATGGCAGCTGTGATGTCATTGTTGACAAACTAACTTATTTCATGAAGTTTGATGCAGGTACAAGACAGCACTATATTTTGTACTGTGCAGGGCATAGTGGAACACCTTCCATAATAATTGTATGATGCTTATATAAAGAATACTGTATATGCTATTTTAAAGTATTTGCTGTGATGAGAGTCTATAGGACATCTCTGCTATTAGATAGCATCATTTTTGTATGTGCTTAACTGCATTACTGCTAAGAGTGCGTCAACTGGTGTTCATTATATGCTCGGGGCTGATTGTGTGCCGGTCACTTGCAAGCAGAGTCCTGTGCATGTATTACAATGCACTTTAGCCATGTTCCTTGCAAAGCAGCTTAGAGCCATCCAAAAAGTCATTTGTAGTGGTTTGTACATAATCTCTTCCATATCTGTTGCATGAAGGTTGACAAACCAAAGTAAGCAAACTTCTGCCATGCCATTGTCAGCACAGAATGTTCCTCTTGGATAATGTCTTGTTGCCACAAGTGATTCCTAAGACTTTGGCAATTCCCGGGGCTTTGGAGCTGGGTTCAAGATCTATTTTTAGTCGGAGATGATATTCCAATCAATAGGGTTAAATCCAAACTCTTTTACATTGGCTGTCTTAAATGGCAGGCATACCTCCTTTAAAGAACAATGCCCTGTCCTTTCTGTCCTGAGTTTGCAACAGGAGAATTTAATTATTTATTGTACTTATTATATTTTTGTACTGCACCATCTAGTGGCCCTGCCACTTCTCTAGGTGGCTATTCTAAATAAGATAGATGAAGTACAAACATCAGCAACTGATGTCCTCTGTGTACTTATTTTCACTATATCAGGAAACCTCCACTTTTCTTATGTGCTTAAAATAGTCCATATAACTTACAGACAGTAACGCAATTCAGTAGTACAGCATTAATAGAATTTATTACTTTAAGAGGGAAGGTATGGAGATGTCTGTGGCTCACAATGCAGTGATCTCTTTAAATGAGTTGGTTTTGTATCAGATTTATGCTGGTCTCCAGCTTTTTCTTATTTGTAATAGTGCAAGTATAGTATTATTTTGTGCAGCACACTTGGTTTTCATATAGAAGATTTTGTATTGATTTTGTTATGTCCATCTTTCTAATCAAGAGTGCAGAGAATTGAGATCTGTAGAATTTCCCATTATTTCTTATGATATCTGAAGCCATTTACAGATGTTATGACAACGGAAGTACTGGCTTTTAGACTTGGGTCTCTCTCTTTTTTCTGAACCCCATCCACCTTCCTTTCTGTTTCCCCACCTTATTATGCTAGGTGGTGGATCTGTGATTGAGTCCTCAGCTAGATTTTGTTGTTGTAGTTAAAAAGCTAGTGAAATCTAGCCTCACTGGTTGAAATCCTGTTGCTTAGGTAAGTCGCAACTATAGGAGGCCCCTTCGAATCAGTGAAACGTATGGAGGAGGTAACTCACCGAATCCTCAGTGATTAAATGGGGAAACTGGGTATGTTTAAGAGAATTAGAAAAATAATAAAATGACTATGGAGGGAGTGTAGGGGGAAAGGTGCTTTAGAAGTGAATTTTGTAGTTTTAACTTTTTGATTTTCAAAACAAGCCCTGTTTGCAAAAGAATGAGCCAGTTCCAGCAGAGCAAGGTCAATGGATGATAAATAGTCATGGCAACTGAATAAGCGCCTGGAGGAGGCAGGGAAGTGAGGCTGCCGCCACCAAGTGGGCACCCACTGAAGGAGGTGGGGCTTTGAAGTGCTGAACACCTCTTTGGCTGATAAAGAAATGGGCATGAACTGCTGAAGCAGTGGTTGATGCCCATCTTGAGTTGAGAAAATTGTACAAAAAAGGTATATGTAAATTTCTTTTACTGGAACATTTTTTTTTGCCCGGGTGGTGACAGGCTCTCTGTGGAGTTCTCTTACTATAATTTCTGTCTATTTCTATTTATTTATTTATTTATATTACTCATCTTGCTGTTATGTGCTGTCATATCACTTCTGAGATAAGGCAACCTTGTGAACTAGTTACATCCAGAATGCTCTATCGTCAACAGCCCTGCTCAGTTCTTGCAAACTGAAGGCTGTGGCTTCCTTTTTCAAGTCAATCTTTCTCTCATATGGTTCCTCTTTTCCTGTAGTCTTCCACTTTTCCCAACATTATTGTCTTTTCCACTGATTTGTCTTCCTATTATGAGTCCAAACTGATCTCAGTTTTTAATTTATTTATTTATTTATTTATTTATTTGCTTCTCATTTGGAATACTGGCAACTGTAAGGTTTAGGTATATTTTTATATTCCTTTGTTTTTTTATTAGTTTCCTTAAGGACCTACAGGGATGGAAATGCAGGGGAAAATAATAATAATCAGTCAGAACGTATGATTCCAGTGGAATGAAAACTTTGTGCGTCTTAGAATTCTCATTTTCATGGCAAACACCTTAAATACCAGAGATGATCTTGCAGTGTTTCCCCTGTGAAAAGAATGGGAAGTCTGTGCAAATGAATAAAGGTTTACAAAAGAAGAAATGCAAATAATTTGTTTCCTATAATATGTTTACAGTGGATGTATGTTGTTTTTTTTGCCTCCTTCACACAGGTGTTAATATGTACCACCATTTCTGTGATTTTGTAAATCTTTACATCACCCAACATGTTATTAATTCATTCAGCACTGATGTCAACATTGTCATGTGGGACACTGTAAGTAAAAGCTCTCTTGTTTAATGAAATGAAGATGTTAATAAGTGTATTTCATCATTGTTTGAGTGAAAAATATGGAACGGCATAATTGTTATTGCTGACATAAAAGGTCATTGAGTTGCAAGACTTTTGGAGATCATCTGTTCTAGCTCATTGTCTGATGCAGACTGTGGAATGTGTTAAATCTTTGCATTCTCGAAGGCTTTCACTGCTGGGATACGATGGTTGTTGTAGGTTTTCCGGGCTGTCTGGCTGTGTTCTGGAAGTTTTCGTTCCTACCATTTTGCCAGTCTCTGTGGCCGGCATCTTCAGAGGACAGGAGTCAGAACTCTCTCTGCTTAATCTTTGCTTAAATGCTTGCAGTGAAGGGGGCCTATTTTCCCCCAAGGCAGTCTCTTCCATGCCAGGTATATCCTGCAGTTAGGACGTTCTTCTTATGCTTAGGTGAAATTTCATTCCCTACATTTTTCACTCACCGACTGGTTGAGTCAAATGTTTATATATTGTTATGTATCTTGGATACAAGAAATATAACATTTCAAATCACTAAAACAGAAATCCACATCTGATCGTACTGTTACTGTGGTACAGAGCAACAGTGGACAAGTTGTACCCTCTTTGGCATGATCGTCTTTGAGATATTTCAAACTGTTCTTATATTTCCTTTTAATCTTTTTTTTTCTGTTGCAAAGCAAATCTCCTTTTCATGAAGTAAATTTGTATCTAGAGAGTCACACTTTTATCCCACTGAAATCAGTGAAAAAGTTGGCTATCTTAAATTCCATTCATCTAGTGGGACATGCTTATGATGAGTGTGTTCTATAGCAACTGTTTATATTCATGTAATGTGTGTGTATCTCTGTGTCTGAACACACAGGCACATGTTTGTGTCTTTTATTCTGCAGAAGCCACATCTGTATATTCTGTGAGATAAGCAACACACACACACACACACACACACACACACACACACACACACACACACACACACACACACAGACACACAGACACACACACAGACACACACAGACACACACAGAGTCCAGCCTTCCATTCCGTGTGTGTTGCAGACCCTCCAGGGAGTTTGTGCTTTGTTGACTGCTGATACTGAGCCAGTAGCACAACATGTGCCAGCCTGTTTCATTTTTACCAGGTGCTTTATCTGGAAACTAAGCGGGATGATCCTGATTGGTGCATCCATCCTAGTAGATATGTATCTACCATCTACCAGCATATGCCTAGAACCTCCAAGTGGGCTAGGAAAGAATCATACCTAAAACCCTGAAGACCTGCTCTTAATTCACTATACAAGGCTAACTAGATCAAGGTCCCCCTCCATGGTCCTGTGTTCTTTGTATCTAATCTGGTACTATCAAATGCTTAAGACTAGCCGTCCTATCATCTGTCTTTTATTGGCATGCAGCTTTGCATTAAAATGGAAGCTATTTTTCCATAGTAAACAAAATTTTATAAAGCTGTATTATTTACTATACTTGATTGCTTAAATTCCTTGTGTTGCCAGATGATGGTGCCAAAAAACTGTTTAGAATGGTTGAGTAGTTGTCAGGGAGTTTATTATGCCTTCTTTCTTTTTTTAATCTAATGCAGGTAGATTTTTTTGGCTACTGCAAAATTGCTATCCTTACTAAACATTAGTGTCCTTTTAAGTAAGTGGAACAAAGCAGAAACTCTGTTTGACATCTTTGTTCAAAGAAACAAAAATGCCAAAGTACAGTACTGTGAAGCATGTATGAGGCAAAAAAAAATTACAAATGTGTTTTACTCTGTCATCATCATCTGTTAGAAAGTGGCACAAAGCAGTGAGTGGAGAAAAGGCAAATAAAAATCAGCATGTTAATAAATTTTGTTACCTTCTTTAACTAATGTTGCATGCAATAGTAACAGTGTCTGCTGCTTATTTTAAATATATTTCAATTTCATATTAAATAATTATTTTGAAATATTAAAAAGGACTGAAATGAAGCACAAACACATAAGGCTCAACTGTCAAGCAGTACTGAAACATTGATGCCGCAACAGCTTGTTCTTTGCACATCCTAGTTCCTGTTTGCTCTTTGTAGCTCCAGGATAGCTGTTAACATTTTTTTACTTCACCTTAAGATCTTATTCTCTTACAATTTGTTAATTCCACATTTTAATCTGAGCTACAGTTATGCTGTTTCTATACCATTTTGTTTCACTCTGGTCTTGATTTTATTGTATGAAATTGATTTTAGTTATTTGGATTGCATTTTCTGTGTCTTGTGCATTTATAGGTTTCTTTTGCAAGTAGCCTTTATTTTATACAGTGGACCCTCTACTTACGGAATTAATCCGTGTTGGAACGGTGGCTGCAGGTCGAAAAGTCTGTAGGTTGAATCTCCATTGACCTACAATGCATTGAAAACCGATTAATCCCGTAACCGGCCATTTTTGTTCCGTTTTTGTTCCATTTTGGTTTTTTTCTGGTCTGTAGGTCGATTCTCCGGCTGCAAGTCGAACCTAAATTTTGCAGCCAGAGAAGTCTATAACTCGAAAAGTCTGTAAGTCGAGCCGTCTGTAAGTCGAGGGTCCACTGTAAAGCAAAGCAGGGTTAAAACTTGGTTATTAAAAGTGTCACTGATTTGGGTTTGGCTTGGGTGTGGCATTCTGTACATAGGGGTGGAGAACCTTTGTGGGTATTTGGGGCAATAGCTGCTTTATCTGAATTGTATGGAACTTCTGGAAGTCAGATTTCAAACAGCTGAAGGGACAAGCATTCCCAGACTTTCCATCTGGGAAGCAAAACTTAAGTTTTGTTCTTTAAGGCAGTAGAGCTATATAAAATCTTGAACAACATGAAGTCATATGATTTGTTTCTGAGTGAAATCTTATGTGCGCTTATGTTTCTTTTCTGCCAGAGCGCCTATGGATATGGAGACTTGTTCAATGAAACATGGAAGGCATTTACGGACTATGAAATAATACACCTAAAATCATATGATTCAAAGAGAGTATGAAAAACAATTTTTTTTTTGCTTAAATGTGCATGGTATTTTAAGATACACCAAAAATCAGTGTTTCAGGTTTAGTTTCGTGGTAATGATACTTGACATATTTGGGACTGTAAGCATAGCTAGAGTAGGCAAGGGCAAAACATAACTTTGAGGCTGCATGTGGCTCCCTCCAAGGTTCTTTCCATGCTTTCACCTTCCCTCTGTTCCAGTCCCAAACAGCTGAATGTCTGTTCCTGGAAGTCTCAAGGCATGGAAATTTACCTTTTAAATAGTCCATAGAACCCCCAGCCCAACCCAACATCCTTTAACAACCCCAGGGTACCATTTTTTCAAAACTGGAAGTGGAGCTCTAACTGATTCTGGTTTCGTTCTTTTATTTTATTTTTGTTGTTTTTGGTCGTTATGGGTTACGCAGCATCCAGATTTGACAGGGAGGGTCTATCCATAAAACTTGGTTTATGGAACTTGGAAATATCATACAAAGCTGACTTGAATGACCTACATCTCTTAAAATGTTTAATTTAAAGAGATATGTATGGGTTATTCAAGTGTGGTGTTGAACTAGAACACAGGAGATTTGGATTCAAACTCTACTTGGCCATGAAACTGACTAGGTGGCTTTGGATTGATCACACTCTCTCAGCCAAACATCCCTTACAGGGTTCTTCGGTTTTTCATTCATGCATTCATTCATCCATTCATCTATTCACTTTATTTATATCCCATATTATTTTATTTACATCCCATCTGTCACCCATTAAGGGAATGCAAGGCAGTTTGCCTAACATTTAAAAGGCAAATGAAGCTAAATGTATCATAGGTTACTACAATAGTGCCCCTTGTATACACGGATTCAGTATCTACAGTTTCAGTTATCCATATAGCGACCCGCTGTCAGTTCTCATATACATTTACCTCCTTCTCCTTTTGCCATTCCCCCTCCTCTCACTCTCTTTAGTGGGTTCCTTCATATTACTAATTTTGAAATGGATTACCCATGGATACGGGAAAACTACTGTTTATTTAAAAAAAATAGTGTATTAAAAGTAATAAAATCATTTAACTAACAGCTCTTTTAGAACAACTTAAAAACACACTTTGAAGAGTGCCGCTATTAAAATTTTGTCAGCCAATCGCTTGCCAGAAAAGCCTGCCTGATTCTTTGGAAGGACAGGAAGGAAGGGACCAGCCTGGTCTGTCTTGGGAAGGAATTCCACAGCTTGGGAGCAGCCACTGAAAAGACTCTCCTTAGGCGTACCTGTGAGGATAGTGGGAAGAAGAGAAAAGTCTCCCCCAAGATCTTGGGGACCACATGAGAGATATAGTCCTTCAGATAGGCTGGCCACTAAGTCATTCTGAGTTTTAAAACAGAAACCAGTATCTTGAATTCAGCTTTGTAGTGCAAATAGTTGTGCATTTCAAGTTGTCTGCTTTTAGTATGGTCTTAACAAGTTGCTAATTTGAGTGTAGGATCAGGTCTCCAGTCCATGTTCTGTGTTCTATACATGAGTATTCTGCAGAGGCATTGTATGTGACCAAATACTGTACAGGAATGCAAAACCTTGGAAATTAGCCACGTTGCTCTTGTGGTTATTACATTTACTTTTTATTTCCTTTTGTTACTTTGCCTTCTATCATTTCCTCTTCTAATAACCCCCAGCCCACTTACAAATGTTATTTAGCCTACTGTTCTTCAGCCTTTGCGTCACATACTGTATTTGTTCCAGTCACTTGTTGGTATTTAATGCAGGGCGGAGTAAGACTGTAGGGCTCTGATCTGGTTTCAGTTGCAATATTAATAGGTCCTGCTTTATATTCACCTCTCTTAATTATACAGTAGGAGTTCCACTGTAGCTTGTTAATTATCTCCCTTTCCAGGTATGCTTCAAAGATGCAGTTTTTGCCTTGTTGCCTCGAATGAGGTATGGCTTGTTTTATAACACACCATTGGTGAGTAAATCTGGTGGTTCTCCCCACCACCACCACTTGAATGTAAAGAATCCTGAATAAAAAATTTAAGCTTTACAACTAAATGTATGATGTGTAAAGTTTTATTTTTACTTTTTGTTAGGAAAAAAACATTAAAATAAAATTGAACAAATGCATACATTGTATTTCTATATATCCATTCTGATTTCAGATCTCCGGCTGTCATGGTACAGGGTTATTTAGAGCCTTTTCCCAGCACGTGTTACACAGATTGAATATTAAACAAGAAAGACCAAAGGTATTAATGCGGCAGTATGTAATTTTTGGTAACAATAGCCATTTTTACCCGCCTGAATCTGAGTTGGCATGTGCTGTCTTTGCCCAAATCTCTGCTTGAAATTCTGCTCCTCTTGTAGCCTGAGCATTAACAATTCTCTTTTCTGGCATCCATAATCAATATTTAACTGCTGTTTTAAATACTTCTGTTTCCACTGACTTGCTCGTGGTGTGAGTTTCATGCTGACCAATATACTGTGATTATTGCCATGAGGTGCCTTCCTGGCAACTTTGAGGGAATACAAACAACCCTGTGTTCAAAAGGTCACTGTTGCCTACAACATGTCTGTGTGCTGTACACCTTTGCAGGAGAGCAGCCATGTGAAATCTGTTGTAGCGAAAAGAACAAGGACTCCTGTGGTACCTTAGAGACAGATGGGTTTCATGGACTGTAACCAACTTCTTGAGGCACTTGTATTCTGTATAGTTTGTGATATATGCATGGTTTAAGAAAAATCCAATAACTGTATTGTAGTAGCAGACTTTCTTCATGACAAAGGGAGCCCTATTCAATCATTACTTCCTGGGTTTTGACCACAGAGAGCTATTTAGTGACTTCCCTTATTGTCGTCATGTTCTTAAGATGGAGAGCTATGTGTCTGAAAAGGACACATGTAGGCTTTACAGATGAGCAAGAATCTTGAAAATCAGGGCTGTTCCTTGGGTATGGAGCCTATATCTTTTGTCCACGTGGGGAAAGCAACAGTGGAGGAGGGGAGGTGCTAGGAACCTCATTCTAACAGGTAATGACCAAATAGGGCTAAAGTATTACTATGACTCTTACAGCCATTTCAAGATTTGCGTTAGTCTTGCCAGCAGATCTTCTGTCACTAAGGAGACTGGCAGGATGAGGACTGTCTAAAGACATTTAAAAACCCTCGGATAGCCCAGGATGTGAATTTTGCTTTAGGTGCAATATTTTGATCTACAGGGAGACTTTAAGTCACAATTAATAAGCTGTTAAGTTGTGCATGTGTGTATGTGTACCCCTTCTCACATTATGAGAGAATATGGAGCAAAGCCGTCTCTGAGCTTTTGAGCTCCTTAAACTATTCACTGGAGAATATTCTGCATGCTTATCACAAGGGACTATGATTTCAAGCTCCATGCGACCACTTGCTACACATTTCCTACTGATGTTAATAGGTGTCCTGCAGCTAAACCTTTGGGCTCATGTTTTACACAATTTACCCCTGAGGGTTCAATGGAGTTTTAAATAGGAAAGGAAAATAACAACTTTGTTAGGTGGGCAAATCTTTTCTTTCCCACCCCATCAATTCATCAGTGTATAAAGCATGCTGTTCTGTGTGGCTGCCTGCTACCTTTTCTGTTTCTGCAGAAGTATGTGGTGGCAATGCAGTCCATTTTGTACTAAATAGAAAGAAATAATTTCAAAGCCTGTGCTGTTTTTAGTACTGTAAAGTTCTGTGTAGGTGGGAAGATGGTTGAGGGGCTTAGGAAAGACTGTAAGGGGTCTCTTATATGACTTAGCTATTTGTTGCAATTAAGTCTTTTTGGGAAGAAGAATGGACAGAGCATGCATTTTAAAACTCCTCTTAAGGAGTATGCGGCTCTCCTGTGTGTGGCATAAATAATGTGATTAAAAGAGAGAGAGAGAATTAATCGTACAGCTAACTTACTCCATTAAATCCACTAATTTTCTTGTTGTCCCTCAGCAAGTATTTCTCTTAACACAAATGGACTTATTTTGCTGCCTTTCTTCTTCTTCAATAGGATGGGAAAATCAGAGTTACAATCCTTGCTCGAAGTACAGCATACAGGAAGATATTAAACCAAAATGAGGTTGGGAAATTTTCTCTCAAGCAAAAAAATTCTGTGTAGTGATGGGCACGTTAGAGCTTTGATGCCCAAAGAGAACTGGGCTGTGGGTCCAATGGCAATTTTAATTGTATTTTAATTGTATTTTTCTGGGTAGTGTGGGCGGCATATAAACAAACAAACAAACAAACAAACAAACAAACAAACAAATAAATAAATAAATAAATAAATAAATAAATAAATAAATAAAATGTGGAAAGAGTAAATACTGTACTAAAACTTGGTTTCTCTTTGTTCTTAGCTTGCCAATGCTTTGAAAACACTGTCATTGTTTGAGGTCCAAATAGTGAATTACAAATACAAGTAAGTACGTCCATAAAGAGGAGCAGGTTTGTACTGAAGTAGGAAGGATGCTGACAAATTTGAACAAGTTCAGAGGAGGGCAGCAAGGATGATCAGGAGGGGGCTGGAAACCAAGCCTTATGAGGAAAGGCTGAAACAAC